TAGTTTGGAGATGAAAGAAGGACATCAACTTGATTACGTGTATCCACTGTATGCAGTGGATACAACTCGCAATTTTTTTAGGGTACACCGAGGAACAAATATAATTGGCCTGGAAGCGTGCCGAAGCATTAACACTTGCCAATTCTTGCTATTTTGTAAGCATGCCACGGGAGTTATTGGTATAAAATCAGGCCGAGACAGCCGTGCCTCTAGACTGACGAATGAAACACCTTGGATTTGCTGCAATTCCTGCTTCCAGTACTTATAGCTTTCGTGGTACGGCATTGACGTCTTTGGGCTAAACCAGATACCACCTTTCACAAACGGACAATATCAGTGCTTATCTGATCTGTCCAAACGGGAAAGTGTCTGTATTCTAAGCTGCTCAAACACGTTCAAATGACATCTATTAGCACTGCGAGCATTATCGCCACATCGCATATCTTTTTCCTGACCTGCTTCCTTAATCTGCTTTCAATGAGGTGAACTACTGTATTTCGTCATATCTAGAAACACACTAAGAGAAGGATAGAGGATATTCACAACGTCGACACCGTACAGGCTCAAGCTACCATTGACTTGGTTTTTAAAGAGGTTTTGGGATGTAGTCTTACTTTACGCTTACGAATACCACTTTCCAATTTTCCTCGTGATAACCAACAAGCCCCGAGCTTAGCCACCACATCACCACAACACCACCAATCCAACACTATCATGAGCGCATTTACATCTTCGCATCGAAATTTCGCGCTTCCTAGTTTTGTGTTGCTTGCTCTTGCTGCTTTCACTATGACTGTATGTGCCATCGAACAAAGTGAGACTATTCACCGCCGATTGGCCACAACACTCGCGGACGCGCCATCCCTCCGACTTCACTTCACACTCAAGCGATCTTCCATGAATCTTTACGGACAGTCTCAGTTTTATGTCTTTGCCAACCCTGTCGTGTCTTCAGACAACACCTCGGTGATTTACGACGGCTACGCAACATTCCTGGACGGCACAACTGAATACACCTATATGCTGGTAAATGGAATTGCTTACTCCGTTGTGTCTACGGTAGGTAACGCGAGCTCCTTAACAGCTCAGTGTCTCCCATCAATCCTGCTACCACCTGTCAACAACATTATCTCTGCACTCAGTAATGCCACTACAGTCTCGAGTGCCTTTGCTGGCAATGACACAATCACTTGTGCCAGCGGAATATTGCTCCAGGCTACCCTCGGTGACACGACTTTTGTCATTTGCTCGTCAGGTCCGGATGGCTTTACTGTCTATGGCAGCGATCTGGATATTACTGTCGACTACTTAACAAGTCCAGCTACGATCACTGCACCAAATCTTAGCGATGAAGCGGCACTTTCTTGCGAAACCTTCGTAACACCCAGTCCAGTATCACAAACAGCTCTGACTCTACTGACTGGTCAAGCCATTCCCTCTTCATTTCGGCGAAATCTGAAGGCTGCATCAACCACGACGTTAGCCTCATCATCCTGTGGATGCAAGTCGACCCCACGCCCCTGTGTTTTTTTTCACGGTCTTGGCGGGAAATCTGAGGCCACCACTCTTCAAACGAAGTCTCGCTACTTTGGAGATCTTTCCAAAAATGCACCATGCTGCTCGTCTTTTCAATATGCCAAGCTAAATACCGTTGACAGCCCCTGGACCGATGCTACACTGCAACAGAAGGTGTGCAATTTTGCTCTTTCCGTGAGCAATACGAGCAGCTTATCATCTAGAGTAGTTGCGGACACTATCATTGTCACGCACTCGATGGGTGGTCTTATGATGGCAGGTGCGCTAGCAAATGGGCAATGCTCGTTTGCATCGAGCACTACGTGGGTGAGTCTGAGCGCGCCAATGGGTGGAAGCATGGGATCCGACTACCTGCAGAATGCTTGCAGTGGGAAGAACGTGTTTATACGGGCGGTAGCTAATCTGATTGGTAAGTGCCCTATCAACAAGGCTACTTTGGGGCTTGCGTATCAGAACGGAATTTATAGCACCCCTGATTTAAATGCGGCATTTGATGCTGCTCAATCTGCATTCCGTTCAAACGTCAAGGCTGTGATGTGTAGCAAAAGTTATTCGGGTCTACTTTCGGCCGATCGGGCTGTGTATAAGCTTGGAGGAACTTTCATCAATCACAAGTCAAAACAAAGTGATGGTATTGTTGAGTACGCGAGCTGCACTGGGGGGCTACCGATTTCAAGTTTTGGTACCAACTACAACAATACTTTCTACGTGACCGGACTTAATCACGCTGACACGACTTTTCGCCATGGAGATGCGCTATTCATGAATTCACACAAGCCAGTTAAATGGTTTGAGTGCTTGCTGTGAGTTATCAGAATTTGTTTCATACACTGTACTACCTTACAATTTGTGTTAGGATTGTCACATCTAAATTGAATCATTGTAAGGAAGTGTTGGTAATATTCAGAATGGAAAGGTGTCTAACGTTCTTATGTCCTTGTCCTAACGCTACCGTGGTAATGTCGTCGTAATTCACCATTTTTAGCACTTACTTTGTCGTGATAAGATACGGTCCATAGAACGAGGGGTGAGTGAACCGACTTTGAACCCTGAATCCAGCGTAGCTTAATC